GAGGGTTGCGATCCCGTTACCGGTCACAAAAAAAGACAAAAAGGGGGAAAAAAAAAAAAAACGGAGGGAGAGAAAACCTGATTCAGGGTTATTTTCTGAGGAATGCTTTTCTCTTGAAGGTTCTGAAATTAACCCTTTTGGGCCTCTAACTGCTCAGAAGAAATGGGCTTTGAGTAGTCCTTTGCATCTCTGTCACCCTGGGAGAGGTGACAGGAGGTGGGGCCCAAGAGAGTCTGCATCAGGGGGGATTAATGGGACAATCCTAGGACCACACTTCAAGAAATGCCATGACCCAGGACACAATACAGATTCACTGGGAGAATGGATTCATGTGGGGACAGACAGGTGCCAGCTGTTTAGAAAGAGCTTCGGTAAACAAGGTTAAACACAGGACGAAACTGACTGCTGGGCCAGTGCTTCTGTGTGCCAGGCTGCCGTCTTGTACAGACCAGACCTATGCTAAGTACGAGGTAGTCATTCATCCAGGGAACTCTTATGAAAAGCATTTGCTAAATTAAATGGTATTTTGATAAGGCAAAATTCCCTTCTCTGTGCTAGACCCTGAGGATAGAGGCAAATAGGACACGTTTCCACCCTTGCGGGGCTTCCCTCAAGAAGGTGTCCTCAGTACAGGACAAGCATAGAGAGAGGTGAGGTGAGTGACGCACGTAGGACAGGCTGATCATGAGCCGAGTCTTGAAGGAGGGGGAAGAACTACTTGAAATTGAAACTGTCCTGGACCATTCGGGGATTACAGCCGCTGTGGACCCAATCACGGAAGCACACGGAGTTTGTCTCACTCCGGCAGCCCTCTGCTGCTTCTAAAACCAATGCTCCTTCCTACTTAACCACACCCAGATAAGCAAACTGCTTACATCCACGACTTCATCTTTGGACTGAAAATCTGACACCAGCACATTTTCCCCATCAGGCACTCTGGTGAGCGACACGCACATTTTGCCGGAGACGATTTGGTGGATATTGGCTGGGAGGTGTTTGTGGAGACGATCTTTGATGCACTTGCTCAGGTTGAAGGACGGATGGAGGACGCCAAGGTTCCGTCTCTTGACCATCTGGATCATGTCCAAGAGGATCTGCAGAGTCTGGTCTGGGGGCAGGAGACAAATCCATGAAAGAATGTAGCACACTGGAGACAGGGATTTTTTTGGCAAGACCAGACACCAGATGTAAGGAAACTGCCAACCTTTTTTGAGACCTGTGCTATCTAACACAATAGCCACATGTGGCCACTAAGCCCCTTGAATCGAGATGTGTGAAATACACACTGGATTTCAATGATTTATACTCATTAGATGTGAAAATGGTGATATTTTGGATATCCCTGGCTCAGTGAAATGAATTTCACCCATGTCTTTTACTGTTTTCAATGTGGCTACTAAGGAATGTAAAATGACATTAGGGTGGCTTGCAGTGTATTTCTATTTGACAGTGCTGCTCCAGGCCAGGCCACAGGAGCAAGCCTCCCACTTACAGCAGCCCCGGTGAGTGCTCCCCACCACTGTGACTCACAAAGCCAGAGGCCAGGAACACATCAGCACCAGAGCTTTGGCACAGAAGGTCTTAACACCATGGGGTGCAGGAGATGGAATGCAGGCTTCGACCTGAGTTTGAATTCTGCTTCCACCTCTCACTCGGGTAGACCTCAGTAAGGCACTTTGCCACCTGTCTGAGTCCCAGACTGTGCCTTTCTAATGTAGAACAAAGATGTACCTACCTTCTGGAGACAGAGAGGATTAGATAAAATATGATCCATAAGGTGCTCAACCTGGAAGAGGCTCCTAATAACTAGTCTCAACCTTAACTCTCTAGGGCCAGAATCACAACTGTGCAGTGGGCACAGGGCACATCTGTGCTCCACCTGACCTCCCTCACTAGCCCGCCCCCACTGGCTCACCGGGCACGCAGGATCATCCAACCCAGTCCAAGGCCTGGCCAGCTGTAAATGCTGGGATGTACATGACAGACTTGCCCCAGCCTGTCCCAATCCAACTCTGAACTCGACTCAGAGCTCTCCCTCCTTGAATGGCCCTGCAGAGCCTGGACAGAAGGCGTAAAACTGCACACGGTGGGCAGGTTCTGCCCATCTCTTCTGCCGAGTCAGCCTCGTCTCAGGTGCACTGAGGAGCTGTGCCCAAGCTGCAGCCCCTGAGAAATTCTCCTCATCAGCCCCCAAATGCACAGTCCCCTGTGAGACAGGAGGCTAAAGCAGAACCCTGGGGCCCCTGGAACATGGGAAGTGGCTCCTGCAAAAACTTCTAGGCCTGCCACTCTCCAGGGACTTGATGGTCCCTGAGCCTCCCTCTGTCGTGACAGGCACAGCCCCAGGCTGCACCTGTCTTCTGCTCAGTCAGGAAACCCCTCCACACTGGAGTCAACATACTTCGGGCTGTGGGGGTCAGTGCATTTGAACCTTTTCCCAAGTAAACACTCATCAATGTGGGTGCCCACGGGCCACCTTGGGATACAAGAGCTGGCTTTGATCATTACTAAAGCCCAGAGTCTGCAGATGGCCACATGGCCAGTCTAATTCTCCTGAAGGTCACACTTCCTGCCCTTTGCCCCTCTCCCCCTGGCTGGGGAGGGCTGGGGAAGGCTGATGGGCTGGCAGACAGCCAGGGAGGCCTTTCTCCTAATCCTCACCTCCCAGTCAGGCCAGGGTCTGCTCACTGAACCTACCCAATGACAGGGCTCCACCGACCAGGCAGGGACTTCCTCACCACCAGGAACAAAGTCACTCACTGCAGGCGCTGGCAGGCATAGCAAAGAGTAAATCCTTAAGGAAGCCCAGATAAGTGGGTGAAAAGGGGCATGATCTTCCTGTCTGGGGCCCTTTGATGTCAAAAGCTCCATGATGCCACTCGCCCCAGGCCCTGTCCCCTGGCTCAGAACCCCAGAATGTGGCACATCCTTCCCTGAGAAAGATGCCAAACCCTAGTAGTTCTGGCAAGAGAGAAACAACTCCCACATCCTCCCCTTCTACTGACACACACATGGGCAAATGTTTAATCAGGACGAGATTCAAATGCACAGGATCTCATTTCCAGGGGCACTGAGCTCAGAGGGGAGGGGAGGGCTGGCCCAGGACAGTGGAGACTAGAGGACAGGCTTGGATGGGAGCATGTCCGGGGATCCACTCCAGCCACCAGGAAGGGTCCCGAACAGCGGAGGAGAGAAAGGAAACAACTTTCCTATCCCCGGTCTGCCCCCGCCCCCGCCGTGGTCTCGCCTCCAAACCAGCTATTCCTTCCCTGCTGCGTGCCCAAGCGTTGCCCCCCCTCCCAGAGGCTACCCAGCCCCCGGAGGGTTGGGGCGCGCTTTCTCCAGGCCAAAGCCCCGCTCTTGCTCAGACCCAGGGCAAACCGGCCCTTCGGCAGCTCAGCCCGCCCAGCACCTCCCACCGCTGGGACCTCCCCCCCGCACCGTCCCCCGGGTCCCGCTCCCTACTCCCTGTCGCCCCGGGGTGACCCGGCCCTCAGTCCCGGGGCGCGGGGCTCCCTTCGGACTCGGGAGAGAGAAGTTTTTCCAAAAGTGCAAAAGGCAGTGATGGCCTTTTCTGTTCCTTTTCATCCATTAAGTCGGGGAGAAAGTGGTCGCTGATGCTCACTTAGGTCCCTGATCCTTTTGACACCCGGTCATTTCCTTTTTTACTCGGGGAGATTCAGCCTAAAGCAGGCACCACCATCCAATAGAATGTACTGTATTTGGTTCGTTTTCTTGCAACTTTTGGTATGATCGTCTTCAGTCCATGGCACCTGGTAGAGATTTTTCATTTAATGACAGTGACACGAAGTTTCCGTTTCTAAGTTTCTGGCTGAGCAGAGCGGGGACTGCCCACCCCAACCCCCCTGGGAAGCCCGGATGGTGGGTCTGTCCCTCCCTACATGTTGGCTTCACTGAGGGGGAGGTAGGGGGGGATCCTGTAGTCCTGCCCTGACCCTCCACCCCCACCTTGGGGCAGGATCAGGTGGGGTCAGGATCTCTGTCCTCCTGCTCCCCTCCCAGGACCCACCCATCTCTCCTGCATGGCATGACCACTCTTACCACTAATGATAGGAAGGCCAGGACCTGGGGACAGGAATTTGAGGCCGTGAGTAAAGGACCCAGATGAGTCACCAGTCACGTGCCTTCACACTCTCTTCCTGTCCACCCTCAGACATCTGTCCTCCCCAGTGTGACCCAGATGTGGGCAGGGAGAAGCAGAGCCGAGGCGTTACCCCGTCTTTGTTGCTGCATGTCGACAGCAGGTGAACCCTTCCCCACGTGCCAGAGAAAAAGAGAGGAAAAGACTGGGCGAGGGTCTCATGGTCCAGCTCTCTCGGCCCCTCACCAAGTGTCCAGTGGGGCGAGCACATGGAGTCGTGGCTGAGACTGCAGGCTTTGGCATCAGAAAGCCAGGGCACAAAGGCTGGCTTCTCTGATCGTTACACTTTGTGAGCATCATTTACCTCCCAGAGCTTCAGTGTTCTTATCTGTACCACTGGGGAGAAAACTGCTGTGTGAGGGTCATGGCAAGGTTCAATGTGATGGACGAAAGGCACCCCACACAGTGCCTGGTAGTACCGCCCTTAGTCCTGGGTAGGAGGGCCCTGCCCCGGGTCCCCATCTGTCTCTCTCTGAGTCTCTGTCTCTCACACCCATGCTCCCTCACATGGCTCCTTCCACAATCAGGATCCAGCCCTCAGCTGCATGCTGAGCCGTAAACATTTCCTAACTTGAGCTCTCTGTTCAGGCCCCAGGGAAAGTTCTCCGTATCCCCTGGCTTGTTCCCTCAGAAGAAAAAGTGTGTGCTTTGCCTGTGGTGCAGAGGTCTCGGTTGTGCCCTGCTTGCGTCGCACACAGACCCTTATTTGCAGCACGGGGAGAACTGGCAGCTGAAGCACTAAGGAAAGAAGAAAAACGGCCTTGTTTGGTGTCACAGAGGCCACTGCTGCTTGCATAATGAAGTGCCCTTTCCTAAGAGTGCCAAGCATATGTTTTCCTGCGGCTCATGTTCTAGTTCATGGGACTCGTGGGATTGATTAGCAGCAGCTGTACATGGAGGCTGAGGAACATTTTCAATATTAAGCAATTCATATTGCTATTAAATTTGTATATTCACAGGTCTGACTATAACATGTGAAACCTGATGCTTCTTCATGACTTTGGCAACTAGAACAATATGAAACAGTAGAATTGCAAATAGTTTTATTTTGGTAAAAATATTTAATAAGACTTAAATTTTCAATCATATTAAATTTAAATTTAAAACTTTTAAATAGTTTTTATAGGATATGTAGAGTGTCCAACTCATCCCAGTTTTCCCGGGACTTTCCTGATTTTAGTGCTGAAAGTGCTGCAGCCTGGGAAACCTCTCAGTTGGTCAATGCTAAGTTTCTTGCTGTGGGCCCTGCAAATGTCAGGAGTAGTTCTATCTGGTTCAAAATAAGTCCTCAATAAATCCTAGCAATTTTTAATCTTGGTCAGGAGATGGCCAAGCCCCTGGCATGGAGACCTGTGAGAAGACACAGAGAACAGGAAAACCAGCTCAGAATGGAAACACACACACAGTCGAGCCTCATTATTCCTGGGTTCTGTATTTATGAATTTGCCTACTTGCTAAATTTAATTGTAACTCCAAAATCAATACTTGCAGTTCTCTTGTGGACATTTGAAGACATGCCCAGGGCAGCATAAAAAACTGAGTTGCCCGATGTGCGCATTCTCAGCTGAGGCTGAGCTAGGTGACCCTCCACTTTCTTGTTTCAGCTCTCAGACTACAAACACGAGTCCTTGACGTGGTCTATTTAGAGCCAGGTTTTTCACATTTTGGGCCTTTTTGTTGGTGGTTTTGCTCTTTAAAATGGCCCTCATGTGCAGTGCTGAAGTGCTGTCTAGTGTTCATAAGTGTGTGGAGGCTGTGATGTGCCCTACAGACAAAATCCATGTGTTATATCAGCTTCATTCAAGTGTGAGTTATAGTCCTGTTGGCTGTGAATTCAATGTTAATGAACCAGCAATATATATCACATAAGGTGTCTTTAGACAGAAGCGCACATATAAAGCAAGATTATATTGTAACCAGAAGCTGGCAGGAACCTAATTCTGTGTTTTCCCTTGGAGCGATGATTCATTACTGGCTAGCTCAGTGAATGCGGTGACTTTATAGAACATCACCCCCTTGAATAACAGGAATCAACTGTACGTCACGCCAGCATTCACAAAGGGGAGCAGGGAGATGCTGTGAACCCCAGGGTTTGTGTGTGATGGTGACAAGAGGGCTCCAGGAGCCTGCTGTCCTCCTCCCTGCACTGTTGGCCAAAGGAGGGCCAGCACCCCTCACCCAGTTACCACGCCCCAGCACCATAGGGCCTGACTGACTCTGGGAGGCCTTAGCTCCTGGGCCCACCTGCCAGATGCCTGGATCCATTCACAGAGAGGCGCCCTTGTGAATGGGAGAACTGGCTCATTGCAGCATAGGACAAGAAGGGAGGGAAACGATGAGACCTTCGCCCGCCACCATCCTCCCCTGGTGCCCCAGGCAGATGCCACCTGGACCTTCCTTTCCACACACCTTGCCCCACACTTCCATCCCACAGTGATGGCCTCTGGTAGGGAGCCCCAACAGGCCCGTTTCAGCCTCTCCTCACCCCCTCAGCCCTCATCCTTGCCCCAGTGTCCCACCCCGTCCCTGGCAACCACCACTCCACTTTCTGTCTCTATGATTTGACTATAAATGGAATCATGTACAGTATTTATCTCTTGTGACTGGCTTATTTCTCTTAGCTTAATGTCCTCCAGGTTCTTCCATGTTGTGGCAGGTGTCAGGGCTGTCTAACAGTCCGCTGTATGGATGTAGCCACTGTGTTTATCCGCTCATGTGATTCACTCTTGCTCCTTTGAATAAATCCCTCTCCTGCTGCATCCAGGAGTCAGGACCCCACCCTTCGGCTCTGGTCCTCAGGGCTGGGATCCTTCTCAGGTTTTTCCTGTCCCTAAAACAGGATCCAGGATGTCCCCTTGTCCTGTACACATTCCCTCCAAGCATCCTGGTTCTCGCAGAATAGAACTGCTCACACTAGCAGTGCTGGAGAGCACAGTCAGTGAGGAGGGACTTGGGTTGCCTGGAGGGGTCGCTCCCTGAGCTGTGGAGGGGTCGCTCGCTGAGCTGCGGAGGGGTTGCTCCCTGAGCTGCGGAGGGGTCGCTCCCTGAGCTGCGGAGGGGTCAGATGGACAGTCCCTGCTGCATGGCCCCAGAGGCCACATTGCTAGTGACTAGCATCCTCCTGCCTGCCCATCATGGTGGGCTGTCCCCTGCTCAGGCAAGCTGCCTGGTAGGCTTTGCCTCTTCCGTCCCTATCAGGATACTCCATGTAGACACTGTCCTCTGGCCAACCAAGGCGATGTGGTCACTGCTGGCCAAGGTCTGGTGTTCAAGCCACCGTATCCACAGTGTGACAAGAGCCATCTCTAGGTCCAGAGCTGCTATGAGTACAGACCTGGGTTTAATAGCCACAGCTGCCGTGCTTGCTGGAGCACTGCTGAGGACTGCCCATGGCTTATTTTAATCTAACAGAGCCCACCGCCCCTGGCTGTCTCTTGCTACGTGTGCTGTGGGCACCTTCAGGTTAACACACCCACAACCAAACTCAGTATCTCACAACCCCTCCTGACTTCTAGACTCGCCCTTGCTTTTTCTGGAAGATCTGGAACCTCCCTACCCAACTTCAGCAGCCTCACCTCAAAGTCTTGGGTCTATGGGTACAGAAGGGTGGAGAGAGGGGGCAGGGACAAGGGCAGAGCCGTGGAGATGGTCCCACGGGGAGCAGCAAGTCATCGAGTGCGGGAAGAAGAGAAGGGAAGAGCTTCGGGGGACAGGTAAGGGCTTCAAGGTCTGCTGATGTCCCCTGAGCAGAGTGGAGTCCTAGAGCTCAGGAAGTGGACAGGGTCAGAGGGCAAGCAGTCCCAGGACAGAACACGGCGGGAAGCCTGGAATGTCTGTGACAGCCCTGAAGGCCAGCCGTGCAGGGCATGTGGATGAATGACAGTGGAGAGTGAAGGCCCCCTTCCTCCCCTGACCTCAGCCCTGCCGTCCTTCTGCCTCACGACCCCGCCCCCACCCACCACTTCCTCAAGCCAAGACCCTGGTGTCCTCCTTTGTCCAGCTCAGCTCTTCCCACCCCACACCCCACCCGCCATCAGCCCTGGAGATTCATCCTCCTAAGGACCCCAAGACAGTCTCTTCTTCCCACCCCCACTGCCACCACCCTCATCTGGATCAGGCCTGCAACATTTTGGCTCATGGACCCCAAAGAATCTGGAAAAGCAATGTACTTCCTTGCACAGTTTTAAGTCAATATTGTAGGGGAGGAAAAAATCTTTTTCTTCTACGCATCCGTCTTAGTCCACTTTGTGCCGCTGTGACAACGTGCCTGAGACTGGGGAATTCACAAAGAACAGAAACTTATTTCCCACAGTCTGGGGGCTGGAAAGCTCAGATCCAGGCGCCAACATCTGGAGTCTGGGGAGGGCCTTCTGCCGCGTCCTCACGTGGCGGAGAGTGGAAGGAAGGGGAAGCGGGCTGAACCTGGGTCCTCCCATGGACCGCTCCCTCGAGCCCTTTCTGTAGCAGAATCAGTCCATTCTGGGACCTAAACACCTCCCATGAGATGCCACCTTCCAGCACCACCACACCAAGCATTAGGTTTCAACATGAGTTCTGGAGGCAACAACAATAGCCAAACCATAGCACCATCTTAAGTCTGTTGCCTGGGCCCCGTAAATGAGACTGACAAGAGACGGATTAGCAAGAGGAGAACGTTCCCATTTATGCAGTGTAAGTTTTACATGACATGTGAGCCTTCATATGGAAATGAAGACCTGAAGACATGGTTGAGCCTGAGCATCTTTACATTAGGTTCGATGACGACTGGAATGTCATGGAAAAATGTGTTAGAACAAAGGGTATGAGCTGAGAGCAGGAAATGGGGAAACTGAGCAAAGCCTGCTCACTGCCTTCCTCTCACCTGAGGGTCTTATGACCCAGGGGGAAGGAGGAGGTAAGACAGTCCTTACCTGCACCGCCGTTTCTCGAACTCCTTCAGCTTAATGTATTCAACGTGCCAAGGCACCGTATTTTGGGACAGTGTGTTCTGAACACTGTCAATAGCTAAAATTTTTCTTTGTGAGTGTAAGTAGTTACAAAGCATGCAGATTCCAGTACATGTGTGTGTAAACTTACTCACTCTTTTAAATAT